AATGTGACCTTTTTCAGCCAGTACATTAACGTGGCGTATGGTCCCACAATTAACAGAATGTGTGTACCCTGAATGAGAAAAAAATAAGCGAAACATAAAATTTTGGCGTTCTTGTAACAAACATGTTTTGGTCTTATTTTCGGCTTTCGATCCACCTAACCCGGTTTTCCCTTGATAATTTTAAGTAGCAAAAATTTCTGCAGCAAGTGACCCCTGTTTACTCACATGTATTTTGGGAATTTTAAGCGGATGAGAGAATCTATTTTCAAAAAGAAGAAATTTATTTGTCGGGGATCAAAGCAAGTGACTCCTTGTTATTTTCTAATGCTTTCTCTTTGCTAGGCTGCATTACTCCAGAATGGACATAACGATTGACTTAATTATTGGCATTTATTTACCTTTTAAGTTTTTTGGGTTGTTGTTACCATGGGCCTAATCTATCTATTGAAAAACTTGTACTTGGCATATTACCTGCCATAGAAGAACCTAAGCTTTCAGTTATATTGTAAAATTTGGGAAACATTGTCATAATTATAGTAAAGTTTACATCTTGAGGTCGTACAATATGAAATGGAGTGGTTGAAAGGAAATCAAATATTACCTGACATGCTGCTTTATAAATGATGAAGATGATACTGGAGATCTTGAAGATAATAATGATGATGATAACGATGATCCATTTAATAAGCAGCATGTTTACGCATAATATTTTCCAAAATCTATCAAAGATTTACAAATTTATGTACATAATTTTGAGAATAGACAATTATGACCTTAAACCTTTGAGCCCGAGACTTGATTATTTCTTGTTCGACCTTAACATGCAACACATCTGTTGGACCAGACAAAGAGTATCAACGCATGAAATGAAAAATTAGGGGTGACTTTGAGCAACACATCTTGTTTTAGCGTATGATACACATCAGATCAATGTTAAAAAAAAAGTTATGTATAATTGTAAAAAAATCATCCATGAAAGATAATGTCGTTGGAAAGACAACGCCATCTATTAATCATATTATGAATACGGAAGTTCAAGTGTGTGACTTGATTTTTGAATGTGTCACATCGATATAATGTCAAAATCATTTTTATTAAGTTATTTAAAAAATCCATCCAGGAATGACATAATTATTGACTTGACATGACCATCAGTGCACAATTTATGCAAAATATGCAAAGGTATGGACCACACTCAAAGTAAGGAATATGGAAGCACTGTACAATAATATTCCTATCAATTTTTTGTAGGGGAGGGCATAAAATGCTTTTGCTTTTATTTTAAGTATTGAAATTGACTGGTTTCTTTTGTGCAGAATGTATTAATGCATCTATACTTATATTAATATATGTATTTAAATTGTGTTTTTTAAGTTTAAATTGATATGATAAAGACTTAAATTACCTTTCGCTATCCACTATTGGCAATTTTTCATGACTGTGATTTTATTCAGTATGTTATTTGCACAACATTCTATTAATAAATGCTCCTTTCATCAATGACCAATAACCATTTCTCTTTTCTTTCATGTTAGATATTATAGTAGTCAAAGTTTAAATGATACCAATCAACCAAAATTAAAGTTTATATTAAATGTAATGAGATGAATATCCATTTTACAACTTTTGCTGGAAGAACATTATCAAAAAAATCTTTTCAAACAAGTATTTATCCATACAATATTTTTGTTTTCAAAACATAAAAAATGCCATCATATAACATATATTATAGAACAATAAATGCAAGTTGATGAACATTATATTTAATGGTTTAGGTGTTTATTTAAACTCTAAGATATATGATAAGGTAACTACTTTCAATGACTTATCAAGCTATAATCAACTGATAAAAGACAGACAACTATGAAATTATTTTATTCTACGATATATCTAAAGGCAACAACTCTCAAAAATGTGTTTCGGACCATTCACTTTTTTGTGATAATTTTAAATTTGGATGATTGATGTTTCTTTTCTTCTTTAATGTTAATACAATCTTTTATAAATTTCTTATCACAAAAATTCAATTTACTGATAAATACACTAAAATTTTGAAAAGTAAAAGGCAAGTTTTAAGTTAATAAATTTGAAACTTTTTTCTTCTTTTTCCCTTCTCTTTCTTTTCGGTTATTTTACCCCACCCCACTTTTGAAGCTGTATCATCTGTGATAAAGATCAGGGTAAAATTGTTTTAAGCTTTAACTTTATAAGAAATGTTCAAATGATAAATTAAAATACAATTAAAAAACACAATTTACTATTCTTAAACTGAATTCATATGTTAAGGCATTTTTTGGGAATATCATACATGTGACATCCCGCGGATTTAAAAAAATCCAGATTATTTCAACACTGATCCCGATTTCCCGATATTACAGCTTGAAATCCCGATATTTAAAAAAAAAATCAACATAAAAAAAATCAACACAGCACCTGTATCTAAAATGTAAACCGTGCCTCCGGGCATTGATTGTTATCTGTCCATATCCTAAATTATAGCGGATTAAATGTTGAGTCGCTAATTGACAGCAAGGTGACGTAATAAACAGTTCCAATACCCAAAGTTATTCTCACATGTTTAACTTATCACGTGTTGTGTGTCAATCAATTGACCTCTTTTGTAATTTGGCAGTAGGTATTACACGCTACGTCATCAAAACTACCCTGTAAATTTACATGTATGAATTCGGCTGAACCTTTGATTTTCTTTGATAAGTGCCGCACTGATAAAGATAAAAGGGGAGCAGAATCATTTAAAGTGGATCATTCAAAACCTGTTTGAGATGTCTAATTAACCTATTTTTAGTGAGTGGGTAATTTTTTGTTTTGTTTAGGAATCACGCAATCATCGAGGCAAAAATGTGGATTTAATAACAGAAGGATTCTTGCATTTATTTGGAGTCTTTTACTTAATGTTACGTTATTTAACTGTCATAGTCTTATGTTTATGAATAGTTGTTGCACGTTTTCAAATAGCTTGTGTTTAATTATTGAATGACTGAAAAGTCACATTATAATTCTTCAAACTGAAAATAATGAAATGTGAAAGTGTGACTGTTTTAGAAATAGCCAGTATGACTACACTTATTTATTTATCTATTTATTTATTTTTTTGGTGAAATAAATTAATATTGATCAACAAAAAAAATCATAAAAAAATATAATCATTTAATGATTTTGAGGGTAATATAGATTCTTTGAAGCAAATGTGCCAAACACGCATTGAATTTCGATTCAATAAAAAAATCCAGTTTTGAGCCTCAAAATCCAGCTGAAAATCCAGATTTGGCCCATTTCATTTGTCACATGTATGGAATATTGTAATTTTAATTTTTTTCACTAATTTTACCCCACCCACTTTTGAAGATCTACTCTTACGGCATAAATGCCCAGAAAATGATTTTTTTATGCTTAACTTGTCTAACTATGTTAAATTGATAAAGTACACACACTTTAAATGCATTTTTGTTTATATTGTGTAAATACGGAAAAACGAAAGTCATCATATTGTCAAAAAAATGCTATTTTTTACCACTTTTTTGGTTAATTGATAGTGATAATTTAAAAGTTTGCCATATAATTGTCATCTTTGCTTGATTGAACCATAAATTAGCCATATTTTATCTGATATTTGCAATTGAAACTACTTTGTACAAAATCCGTATGTAAAAAATCAAGAAACAAAAATTATATGGTATTTTGTAATTTATGGCGGCCATATTGGCGGCCATCTTGGATTTTTGTACTTTTGCCCGGGCTTAACTTCAGAAATGGGTTTTTAGAAACTACAAACAATATGCTTCATAATGGCAATGTTTCTTTTGGTGATACGGGAAATTGCAATAAAACCCCGCCATCTCTTGGACTAGATGGTTTCGTGAGTGTTAATGCGATAATTTTGAAGAAATGCACAGAATTTCGAGTTAAAAGGTTTGTATAAATTAAGTTTCCAACAATCTTTTTTTCAGTTCATTTGAATGTTTTTATTGAATACCTTCATCAGTATAATTAATATTTGTTTAGTTTTTTTATTAACTTATTTTCAAAGAATATTTACTGTGTAAAAAAAGTATTGGAATATTACTAAGTGTTTGAAAAAATGATAGTGTTTTGTGTTTAATCACTTTATGTCATTATGACTGATAACTGTATTGATTGTGGATATATTGTGCGTGACAGACAGGAGGCAGTGACCTGCGGTACCTGTGATAGATGGCAGCATCATTATAATTAATCTTACTTAAAACTGTTAGGGGCCTAATGGAAACACTTTAGTGTGCTTTTGGTCATTTCTTTTTTTTTTCTTTTTTACCATACAATAACATGGTAATGATTTGAACACATTAAGGTTTCTTTTCCATGATATGTCAATAAAAAAGTTTAGTTTTTTCTTAATACTTCTATCGTAGAGGTTAAGGTTGAAGACAGACGTCACCTTATTTTCGCGACGGTAAAAACAGTAAACTATGCATGTGTTGCTTGTTTGTTAATATTGCTAGTTTTTATATAAAATAAATAATAAAAGATATCATCGTTAAACTTTTGATATTGTTTTTGTTGTTAATTTTTATTTTATTTCTTGATAAGTGTTTATATTTTAAAGCAAAATAAATAATAAAAAAATGGGGCCGGGTTGACCAGAAATAACATTGGTTTGGGGCCGGGTTGACCAATTTGGGGCCGGGCTGACTTGGGGCCGGGTTGACTTGGGGCCGGGTTGACTTGTACCGGATCTATACATGTGTAGTCGAGATACCCGTGCAACCCAAAGTCCGAGCCTGCTTCATTTTTATAAATTTAAGAGTTACCCTAGAAGGTACTAAGGTAGGATTAACTAGCATTTACTCAGAATTAATGTTAAGGTGAAACCTCACGCCAGTGAACAACGAACAAGGTCGCGAAAACTAGTGAAATGTATACAGTAATTATTTTTTGAAATCAAAGAAATGTAATCAAGTATAAGCTATTGAAAACTTAAGAAAATTTATTTTTATTCCTACTTTTGCTTGGTTGGTTTATTCCGTAAATTGAGTCCTTGATAAATTTAAAAAACATTTTATTGAGTTCGTGCTTCCCGCAATTTTTTCCCGATGTACTGTTTCCGGTTATCTAAAATCCGTTTAGCCCCAGAACCCGTTTGCAACAAAATAATATAAAGATGGATAATTATAAATTTAATAATATATGTAAATACAACAATACGAAAAAAGCAAAATAAAAGTGCCCGGTGCACTGTTTAAACACAACTTTAAGTCTAGAAAAACTGTTGTCAGACCACAGCTCGAGTATTGCAGTCCCCATACACAGTCAAATGTCGAAATGGTATTAATAAAGCGCAATGCTGCTCAACGGTGACCAATGATTATTCCCCAACAAAGTGTCACAAACATGTTAAATGAAGTACGGTGGCGTTCCTTTCGAGACAAAACGATTGATTACAAGCTTCTTGTTTTACCAGATCGTCTTATGAATGGTGCTATTACCAATGTCATCATTGGTTATACCTGCCATTAGACTCACTGGTCACATTTGTACGTGTATCCCCTTTCTTGTAGACAAATTCTACATGTATACTCACTCTATGCACTTATAATGAGTCCTCTTTCTTCCCAGTTTGTATACCATCACAAAAGCAATCAGAGGTCATACTTAAGGATACATGTGCGTATCAAAATTTATACTCTGGTCATACATTAATTCAGTGAGTTGGATGAATACATGTATATTCCTTGGCAACCAAAGAACACCGAATCATTACCGTTTTGCTTTCTTGCATTATCTAAACATCATCATATGTTTTTATTTTCTGGTTGCATTCACCTGAAGAAATAGAGAAAATGCAACCCTTTAAAAACACAAAAAGCCTAAATTAAAATGTTACAGACCCATTTTGATTGAACCATTTGATGGATGAACCAGTTTTATCTTGATCTAAGCAGTTTGACATCCTACTTGGGAAAGGGATCGTTAGTACTGCTAAAATTATCCTATTTCTTTGATTTTTTTACATAATTACATAACCCGAGTATAGAGTTCAGTCTGGAAAATTTCGGTGGCTTTTCATTGTAAATATTTTGATGATAGCTAAAAAGATACATATATGCATATCATTCAGTAAGCCTTTTTTATTTTTCTAACTGAATATAAATTGAGATATTTTTATAGCTTAAAATTTATTTTCTTCCATTTTCTTTATTATTGTGATAAACACGAAGCAAGATCTGTTACACCAATATTTGAAATGAAGAATGCTCATGAATAAAATGTGAAAAATAAAATCTAAAATTCCTTCTATAGTGTACTAATTTTATACTAGATCAAATGCTGGTTCTAGTATTTATTCATACATGTATGTTATTTATTTTACTGAAAAGACAACCTTGAGTCATTGCAGTACTATATATGCAACACATATTTTAAATGCGCTTTTAATTGTTGTAGGCCCATGCAGAAAATTCGCTGACGAAAATGATAAGTTGGTTCAGCATTGGCCTGACCACATTATTCAAAATAGCAATTGATTGTTGATTGACCTAACAACGACTATCCTTTGCCAATTTCCCGTGGTTGATCCATTGATTTCATGTTTACAAGATTAATATATTTCTGTAATTGCTCTGAACTTGGAACTTTTTTCTGAAGTTTCCAGCGACGAACCAGTATCCTGGGATAACATATATAAGCAGGTATGAGCTATAACAGGTGCAATTTCATCATGTAGTTAAGAACATCGAGCTTCTATATGAAAGTTCATTTTCTCTATGATCACAAGAATATCACAATCATAAATGACTCATTTATCAAGTAACTACTGTAGTAGATCTATATATATTCGCATGCATGTCTAATTATAGAATATGAAAATTCGAAATTTAACAGATATTTAACAATTTTATGATGTGTACATCATTAATTACTTTCTTTTTTATTCAAAACATTGTAAGAGTTGATCTGCCAATCAGAACAGATCTATTTCAGTTATTTTTTTTACCATTTTTTTTTTATCTCAAACCATTGATTACGATTGAACTTTATATAAGAAATTGATTTAGTTAAGTCCTATCAGACTTATATTACATAAATAAATTTATCACACACCCGTGCCGATTTTGCGACTCAGTAAATGGTATTTCATGGCCGTGGAAATATTTTGACGTGACGTCATTTGCGCTTTTAAGGCGCGCTAAATATTAGCAGTACACTATAAGCGGTATGCCTAAAATACGAAAGTGAGATTTTTGACGAAAGTGAGCGAAAGTGACTTTTAAAATAGTAATTATAACATTTTGATAGACTTTTAAAACAAACTTGCAGTTTGTAGACGTATATTATTAGAAAATAATTATATTTATTAACAGAAATAATCATAATGATGATTTAATCGCTACTAATATGATTAACGATAGTGTTACCTAACATTTAATATTCTGTTGATACATTATATTGTAATTATACTGTTTGATTCTTATCTAACAGTAATAGGTCTTGAATGTGTTTCTCATTATTATAATGTCTCTTGAAATTCTTAAATGGAATGGTCTTATGTAGGTTTTATGTGAATAGTTGTATATATGTTTAAAAATGCATCTATACGAATGAGACAAAATAAAGTATGAATATGTTTACATGCAAACACGTGTTGTCATATTCATTTTTCGCATCCACTTTAATTGGATAGTACACACGACGGTGACCGCATGACGCTTTAATCCCACTAAGTATTATTATAATCCAATCATAGGTATGTAACTGATGACAATTGCCCGGTTGTTTATTGAGTGGACAATTGAATTAACCTTTCTTCTGCACCACCATAGATATCTTGCACGGATTAAAGTGGCAGTTATTATGCTCATCCAGGTGTAGATGAGCAATGTACATGTTAATTTGAAAAATAATTTAGAATTTCCCTTCATTTGTTAAAAAAAATATTTCACTATGAAAGAAGGGAAATTAGTAATCCACGGAATTTTCTATAAAATATTCGTACTATATATATCGGTAAAGTTCAATCTTTTTAATAAGTTAGGATTTTTTTTTTATATTTTGTGCTAGTCATTTTTCATCATCAGTTATAGGTCAATCACCATGAAAACAATGAATAATATAATGAAAATGAACTCATTTATTTTTTTATTTGTAAAAAACATTAATATCGTGAATATTGACATTGATTCTGTCCGATTTAAGTCACTTTCGTATTGTTCAATGTGGGCAAAAGTAAGATATCAGAACAGGTATAAACAGCAAATTATGAAAATAATGGATATTAAATCATCATAATGGTTATTTTTTTTATATATATTTTAATCATTTCTGAAAACATTGCGTCTTTCAGCGCTATATTTGAATTTTTGAAGTCACTTTCGTATTTTTCAATGTGAGGGAAATAAAGATCTTTTAACTTGTGTAATGCAAATAAAGGGCGGTTAAATCATCATAATGATTATGTTTAAAAATAAATATAATTGACTTCTGATATTGTACGTCTACAATTAATTTGCAATTTTAGTAATACATTCAATTTAAACAGTATATTTGATATTATGTAAGCCACTTTCGTAATTTTTCAATGCGAGCGAAAGGAAAGATCTCTGTATAAAACTTGTGTATAGTATAAATGGCGATTTAATCATCATAATGATTATCTTTGAAAGTAAATATTATCATTTTCTGATATTATACGTCCACTTTGTGCAATAATAGTATAAATAATTTCAATTTAAACGGTATATTTTATATTTTATAAGTCACTTTCGTATTTTTCAATGTTAGCGAAAGGAAGATATAAGAATTTGTGTATATAAATTATGCAAATAAAAACCGAATAATCATCATTATGATTATTTTTTATAATAAATATAAGTAATTTCTAATAATATACGTCTACAAACTGCAATTTTATTGTTTAAGTCTATTAAAACGTTACCATTAATATTTTAAAAAGTCACTTTCGCTCACTTTCGTCAAAAATCTCACTTTCGTATTTTAGGCAAACCCCACTATAAGCGCGTCGATGAAAAAAGTCTTTATTTTCAATATGTGATAAATAGAATATTATATTCGTGTAGGTTCATGAATTACTGAATGTATTGAACTCGTTGAATAAAGTAATATTATGCTCGCCCGAGGCTACAACAATATAATTTTATTCAACTCGTTCAGTATTAAACTTACACTCATTCAATATCCTAAAGCTATATAACTCTATCGCGTCCACATGAATTGAAACCGTATCATACCGAATCTTTTACGGGATTTATACAATCGATGTTGATACCGGAAGTGTACATGTTTTCCATGTCAGATTTCTAGAATAATCTGTCAACTTTGTGAGGAATCTATTTCCATCCTTCAACACAGGATTATTGAGAAAATTCTAAAATGCCAGCAGGAAAGCAAATGTCTAGGCCTAATAAGGCTGAGTATAAGGACAAAGAAAAACCGACTCAGATAAGGATAAGCAACATCGAAGCAGCGAAGGGTATTCAATAAACATTGTTTACAATAGTAACCAAAAATATCGCTGATTATCATAGTTGCTTATTGAATTTTTGACATTCAGTTGTATAATAACATATTTTTCTGAACTATGCTGAATTTTGATAATGTTTGGCAGAGTGGTAGTTCAATATAATTTATACAATTTTTAGCATGTTCAGTCATGATATGAAATGGATAATTGAGACGCATATCTCCTGGGTTAGAGCCTGTAGTATCACAGGTGGCAGTATCAGTGTTTGGATTCCCTGCCCCTGAACCCCTGGCTGCTACAACCCACAAACGCTTGGGGGGTCAGATCCTGCCCCCCCCCCCCCCCCAATGTGATACGCCCCTGTAAACACTTATCAAAAATATTTAGCGCATATCGCTGCATCATTCATTAACATCATTAAAAGGAACTAGAATTCCACAGCTTATCTAATTTAAGTCCAATAAATATCAATTTTCTATCGATTCTTTCTGTTTCACAGTACTTTTTTTCATGTCATATCCATTTTAATGTAGGGGTTGTTATATACAAGTTTTACTAAGTACTGAAATATACATAGGGGTGTAATCCAAGAAATTGCCAAACTTGTTTATATTAAAGAAAATGGAATGAATCCTACATACACTTTTGGCATAGACCAAGGGGTCCATTCTTGGTCAAAGTCATATAATTAGACAGACCCGAAGTCAATCAAAAATTGGTCCACGCATCCCCACAATATTATGGGTATATTTTCAGTATATTACAATACAGTATTAAATAACAACAGGTTGTGGTTTCTGCAAAAAATGTAATTGAGATCAGTAACCAAATTGTTTCTTAAGTTAATATAATGGCAAACAACCTAGTTACTGGCAAATATACTGGTTGGGGGCCACCAAAACCAGACAACCACCAAACCCGGACGGCCCCGAAAATGCTTAATTTAGTATTTTCTTTGTTCAGTGGTTGTCATTCACTTTTTTTATCAACAATAAGTGCATGTTTATTTTAAAATTAAGTAAATAAATTTATTCAACCACCGTAAATGGTAATATTTTAATGTCTATTTCAAGAATGTTGACGTTGAAATTTGGGTGTCAAGAAAGCAATGCCTGACCTCATATACCAGCTATAATCATTTGCAGAGTGAATAATAGAATATCCAAACCTTCAGCATTTGTTGCTGACATATTGTATATCATGTTAAAAATCAAAACACCCAAGCTTTTATCTGAAATTAATCACGTCATGTACATATACATTGTATGTCCGGACACATGGTACTGTATTGTAGACAATTTAGGTAATTTTGATACCCTCCTTGTCGAGCCTCAGATATAAGTGTCAATAAAATCAGAAATAAACAAACTAGTTTGTTAGTTAGGAGAAGAAACATCAGAACTGTGTCAAATTTTTTGGTCTCTATGTTAAAACGGAAAAATGTTCCAAAAGTGTCCGGTTGATGGTCTCCGACCAGTATGGACATCAAGAGACCAAATGTCATTAATTATAGGCTGTTTATGTATCTTATTTTAAAGAAGTAATGGTTCATAAATTCAGTCAGTTACAGAATAAAGCTAAGTACTGTATGTTAAGTATGAACAATCAGTCATATCGTTTTATAAAAATTTAAGAAACAATCTTAAATTATGATTTTTTTTCTGTCTTCAGCTGTTGCTTCTGCTATAAGAACTAGCTTGGGTCCAAGAGGGATGGATAAGATGGTAAGTTTCATTTAGATTACTTTAGTAAAATACAATAAATACATTTTAATTTTTAAATGTTTATTCACTGTTCAGTTTGAACTTTCTATAAATTGTTTTGCTGCTCCAAAAAAGCAGGATTATTAGGTACAATATATAGAGGATATATTTAATGAGTGTAGGTTCAATACTAAATTTATTGAACAAGTTTGATAAAATCATATTATGTGAGCCTCTGGGGAGCATAATTTTGTCTTGTTGAGTTCAATAAATTTAGTATTGAATCTACACGAATATAATATTCCAGGCCTCGACAAATCCACTCGCCTGCTCATTTAAATTATTTGTTTGCTTTTAGAGAAAGTTAAAAGTCTAGCCTTGCTCCCACTGTTGGTGGCTCTTGTTTAAATCAATCCAGATCACCTTATACCACTAGTTTATGTATTTAATTTCTAAACTGGTAAAACATTGGTGTAGATTAAAATACAGTTTTCACTTTCTTGTGCTGTTGATGTTACAGTACAAGCATTACATTCTGTGATACTATTAAACTCTTCTATCTCAAAGAATCAGTAGGGCTGTCACTTTGTTTCATTAAGCTAAGAAAAAAAAAATATTGGTATTGTTACATTCATGTCGGTCTTCCCTTTGAGCCGCGCCATAAAAAATCTAACATAATGCGTTTGCGACCAGCCTGGATCCAGACCAGCCTGAGCCTCCACGCAGTCTGATCATGAATTGATGATAGCTGTTTCTTTACAAACCCTATAACAAGTACAGAAGCTGATAGTGAACAACATGGATCCTGATCAGACTGGGCAGATGCGCAGGCCGGTCTGGATCCATGCTGGTCACAAAGGTATTATGTTGTTTTTGTAATGGCGAGGCTTGTTTAATTTATTTGTTTGCTTTGAGAGAAAATAAAAAAGTCGAGCCTTGCTCCCACTGTTGGTGGCTCTTGTTTAAATCCAGTCTTTATATCAATTCAGATCACCTTATACCACCAGTTTATGTATTTAATTTGTAAACTGGTAAAACCTTGGTGTAGATTAAAATACAGTTTTCACTTTCTTGTGCTGTTGATGTTACAGTACAAGCATTACATTCTGTGATACTATTAAACTCTTCTATCTCAAAGAATCAGTTTGGCTGTTACTTTATGTTTCATTTGCGACTTTTTTTTTTGAGAAAAAAAAATAGATTATAGAGTTATTGTTGCATTCATGTCAGCCTTCCCTTTGAGCGGCGCCATGAATAAAACCAACATAATGCGTTAGCAACCAGCATGGATCGAGACCAGCCTGAGCATCCGTGCAGTCTGATCATGATGCATGCTTTTTCTTTACAAACCCTATAACAAGTATAGAAATTGATAGCGAACAGCAAGGATCCTGATCAGACTGGGCGGATGAGCAAGCTGGTCTGGATCCATGCTGGTCGCAAACACATGTTGTTTTTGTCATGGCGAGGCTGGTTTAATTTATTTGTTTGCTTTAAGAGAAAATAAAAAAGTCGAGCCTTGCAACCATCGTTGGTGGCTCTTGTTTAAATACAGTCTTTATTTCAATTCAGATCACCTTATACCACCAGTTTATGTATATGTTTTCTAAACTGGTAAAATATTGGTGTAGATTAAAATACAGTTTTCACTTTCTTGTGCTGTTGATGTTACAGTACAAGCATTACTTTCTGTGATACTATTAAACTCTTCTATCTCAAAGAATCAGTTGGGCTGGTACTTTCTTTCATTAAGCTCGACTTTTTTTTTAAGAAAAAAAGTAGAAGTATTGTTACATTCATGTCGTCCTTCCCTTTGAGCCGTGCCATGAATAAAACCAACATAATGCGTTTGCAACCAGCATGGATCCAGACCAGCCTGAGCATCCGTGCAGTCTGATCATGATGCATGCTGTTTCTTTACAAACCCTATAACAAGTACAGAAATTTATAGTGAACAACATGGATCCTGATCAGACTGGGCGGATGCGCAGGCCGGTTTGGATCCATGCTGGTCGCAAAGGTATTATGTTGTTTTTGTAATGGCCAGGCTGGTTTAATTCATTTGATTGCTTTAAGAGAAAGTAAAAAAGTCTAGCCTTACTCCCACTGTTGGTGGCTCTTGTTTAAATCCAGTCTTTATTTCAATTCAGATCACCTTATACCACCAGTTTATGTATTTAATTTGTAAACTGGTAAAACCTTGGTGTAGATTAAAATACAGTTTTCACTTTCTTGTGTTGTTGATGTTACAGTACAAGCATTACATTCTGTGATACTATTAAACTCTTCTATTTCAAAGAATCAGTTGGGCTGTCACTTTGTTTCAATAAGCTCGACTTTTTTTTCTTTTTTTTTTGAGAAAAAAGGTAGAATATTGTTAAATTCATGTCGTCCTTCCCTTTGCTGTCCGCAAACTATATCCTTTATCATAGCTTTAAGTTCTTGGTTTATTGGCTTCATACTTGGCCACAACATTCCTTGGAACACGACCTTCAAGTAGACCAAACTAAACTTAACCTTCATTCATTGCTCTTGTTATATTTCTAGATTCAAGCTTCAAATGGAGATGTAACTATAACTAATGATGGTGCAACCATTCTAAAACAAATGCAAGTTCTTCATCCAGCAGCAAAAATGGTAATACACATTTTATGATGTTATACTAAAATTGTTGTTTCTATTGTTATTGTTTCGATGAATTAGTGGGTAAAGGTATTTATCTTTTTATAATTCTTCCTATGAAATCATAGCCATGATACCATGATACATCTAAACTGAAGCAATTTATAAATGATCAGCAAAAGTGTGATTTATTCTTGATTAATTAAGCTACTCACAATTACATTCTGTATATTGATTTTAATTGGACTGAATAGGTCCAAGACATCTAGATGTCATTGCAATTAAGAAAAATTTGTTTTCTATTTTCTTTAAAAAAATTTACAATAGATGATAATTATTATTCAATATTCGGCAATATTATTCGTGTAGGAAGTGCAATCATTGTTAGTCAACATTTTGGATAGACTGATTCTGTATGTCAGTATAAAGATTACTTGTATGATGTCACATGAAATGGAAAATGATCCGCGTCACGACAAAACCAACATAGTGCGTAAAAACTGCGTTTGCGACCAGCATGGATCAAGACCAGCCTGCGCATCCTCGCAGTCTGATCAGGATCCATGCTGTTCGCTATCAGTTTCTCCGCTTGCTATAGGGTTTGTAAGCGAACAGCATGGATTCTGATCAGACTGCGCGGATGCGCAGGCTGGTCTGGATCCATGCTGGTCGCAAAGGCACTATGTTGGTTTTATCATGACGCGGCTCAAATGATGTATATATTTCAGTTGGTAGAGCTCTCTAAAGCACAGGATGTTGAGGCTGGAGACGGAACCACCTCAGTCTGTGTAATTGCTGGAAGTTTACTGGAAGCATGTGCTAAACTACTATCTAAAGGTAATATTGTGTAATAATTGAATCAAATGATTGAATAATTTATTGATTATTGTTACCTCAAAACAATGAACTATTTTGATGAATAAATGTACAGTAAAATTATCTTGCTGTTTGAAAAAGAAACAACTTTAAATTTTTTTAAATTCGAGGCCATCATGCCAATCTTATTTTGTAATAATGTGATACAGAGATAGAAAATTCCATTAGTCCACCCATAATTTGTAGAATTAGAATGAGAAGAATTAAAGAGAACTTGATGCTGGACAACTAGAAAAATGTTGCCTTCACATTAGATTTAAAAGCTACTTGTCTTGCAGGACAAGTGACTCTGAAAATATTTTTCGATGCCTGCCATTTTAATATATCATCAATATTAAACATTTGATTCAATATCAATTTATGCTTCATAATATCTGTACAATTTAAAATTTATTTCTCTTAATCCTCCGCAAATCTCATTATTGTCTGAACAGTGCTCATTTCTTTCCATGTACTTGGCTATCTGGAATTTAATTGTGAGAGTGAGATATGATAACAAGAATATTTGTGTTGATTAACACACCATGACGACAGTTATTAATGCATATTCAAATATTTTCCATTGTCATATAGCTGAACATTATATTCTATACACTGATGATATTTATCAATACAAAATTTCATTGAATGACAGCCGTAGTATTCTTGACATGATAGTTTAAATGTTGTTAATTTAATGGGTTTAACTATATTATATAGGTATCCATGCAACTAGTATATCGGAGGCTTTCCAGAAAGCAGCAGTGAAATCTCTTGAGTTACTGGAAAATATGACAACACCACTTGATCTGAATGATAGAGAATCCCTCCTGAAGAGTGCTTCAACATCTCTTAACTCAAAGGTATACATGACACAATATTGTTAATCCTTAACTGCTTCAGGGGCAGTAATTTTTATACAGTAAAGGTTCGTATCCATGTCTGTATTCAATAATTTTCCGCTCTTATTTGGTACTGAAGTGTTTGTATTAAAACCATTGAGATGTGCCATTTTTGTAACCAGTATAAGCAAATTCTCCTTCAGTGTCAATATTATTATTGCTCTTCATGTTGAAATGCAACACCATTATTATTAGTTAGGAAGTATATAAGAAATGGCAGGGTCAAATGTACAGAAAAAATATTTCTTGTTGTTAATAAGATGGCTATTGTGATTCTGTGAAGCAATACATGTACACATTTTGCCATCAAGCACTGAGAATAGAAGAGCATGTTGACAGATCTTGTTTTTTCTCTACTTTTTTATTTGATTTTGACACAATACTTCATTGTGAAATGTTTGTTTTCAGGTGGTATCACATTACTCTAATGTACTGTCACCAATAGCTGTAGATGCTGTGTTGAAGGTCATAGATCCAGCTATAGCCAACAATGTTGACTTAAATGATATTAAAGTTGTTAAGAAATTAGGGTAAGTTTTATAAAGAAAAATTACATTTTTAATAATATTTTATTGTATATTTTGTACATGATAAATTTACACAATCTAACATCATTATCTTAAGCATAAATACAATGTACATACAAAAGGGTTGGACCAAAAGTTATACCAACATTATCTAGGGTCCCCCTAAATAATTTTATGATTTTCTGTTGTCCATCTTTACGAGGCCAGACTGTAAATGTATAAATTCTATTGTATGTTTGTTATTATGTGACAAATATACATGTTTATATAGGGAAATATATCTTGCTTCATATTGAATGGTAACAATTGTAAGCAATATTCAGGTACAACTTTAGATTATAGATACATCTGCTATAAATCTACATAACTGCAAAAGATTTGCCAAGCAAATTTTCTAGAGATAATTGTAGGAAGTTTACTTGAATTATGGCCCTTCCTACTTGTACCGGTTAAGAATGACACAAATTACTTGTCCCACACCTGTTTGGATTTACATCAAGTCAGGAACTTTGAATTCTTTCATTTGAGGAAGCTATCCAGCTAGCTAGGAGGATGAGTTTAGTTAGATGCTTGCTCATGCCTGAAATAATGCACTATTGGCCACCTGAGATCTTCCAGCAGTAAAGCTGTTAGTTGCCATATTGTTTTGACTTTTACTGTGTTGGTACAATTTGAAATCCAACAAAACAAAAACAAACATGTATATGTTGTTAAATTCTAAACTTTTTGTAATAATTTCTTGAATAAAAGATTTATTTGATAAATTTTCATTGAGACTAGATATTATTTTTGTCATATGAGTTGGGCGTCAGTGGCCAAGTGGTTAAGGTCGTCGACTTCAAACCACTTGCCCCTCACCGCTGTGGGTTCGAATCCCGACAGGGACTTTGGATTCTTTCATGTGAGGAAGCTATCCAGCTAGCTAACGGAACGACAATGGTTCTACTCAGGTGCCCATTTGTGCCTGAAATAATACACGGAAGGGCACCTGAGGTCTTCCTCTACTAGTAAAGCTGGAACGTCGCCAAATGACCTATACTGTGTCAGTGTGAAGTAAAACCCAATCAAACAAACAAAACAAATGTCATATGAGACGTACATGTTTTCATCATATGATAGTAGATGTTGCAGGTGTCTTAACTCACTTATAAGTAGTGTGGTTTGTCTATCCTAATTCAAACAAATAAGCTAGATCTTGTAACTGATTTGTGATTTTGGGTTTTTCAGTGGAACAGTAGAAGATGTTGAATTGATCGATGGTTTGGTATTTGATCAGAAGACACAAGGTGTTGGTGGACCTAATAAAGTGGAGAAAGCCAAGATTGGTCTCATACAGTTCTGTATATCTCCTCCTAAAACAGATGTAAGTTATATTATATTGTATTGCATGTATTTTATTTTTTGAGAGGTTGTGTAGATAAATAATAGTAAGCCTATCCAAACGGTATCTTTGCCTTGATGACTTAAGTTTTGACTAGCATGTTTTGTCATTTTCTCTAAGATTGATATTCGCCTGCAATAATTTTTATACTAATGGACTTGTTATTAAAACCAGGTGAAAGGATTATTGATGTAAAATCTGCAAAAATGACTAAAATTGAGACAAATGCATTCCCCACAATCCCGCTCCCAATCACTTTGAAATTATTTTTAGCCAAAATGTGATTTAGACTTTTAAATAATTCTGATAATATCCAACACTGTATTTCAGAATTTTTTTACTATGCCTTTGTAAGACATTCTTTAAATGCCTATAGCAAATGTAAGGCTTCTTTCAAAGCCTATAGCAAATGATTTCCTTAGATTTGGACATTTTGCAGTTATTTGCCAAAGAGAGTAAAATATGTAAATATTTTAATTTTGACAGATGGATAACAGTGTTATAGTATCAGATTACACCCAGATGGACAGAGTATTACGAGAGGAGAGACAGTATATTCTAAATATAGTTAAACAAGTGAAAAAAGCAGGATGTAATGTCCTTCTTATACAGAAATCCATTCTCAGGTAAAATATACAGAACATTGAAAATAAGATAAAATGAGAAGCATTAATAAAAAAGTTTTTATTAAAAACAATTTATTTATTAAAAGCATTGATACATGTTAATCCAGCTAGCTTATGGAACGTCGGTGGTTCTACTCAGGTGCCCGTTCGTGCCTGAAATAATGCACGGAAGAGCACCTGAGGTCTTCCTCCACCAGTAAAGCTGGAATGTTGCAATATGACCTATACTGTGTCGATGTGATGTAAAACCCAAACAAACAAACATGTTAAAAAATTGAAATAAATGGAGAGAAACAATGTGTATTTATGGTGATGGTAGTGTAAGTTTACCCCCCCCTGATCACAGTAGTAAACCACGTTGAATATTTATATACCAGATCACAGTCCAGTCATTGCATTGTTCTTGGACACATTGTCGGGCAATTTACCAGTACTAGTGGGCTTCACTTTCACAAGGAACTAATAACTTATTTAAAAACCAGACCAGAGGCACAGTGCAAATAATATATAAGCCGCGTCACGACAAAACCAACATAGTGCGTTTGCGACCAGCATGGATCCAGATCAGCCTGCGCATCCGCGCAGTCTGATCAGGATCCATACTGTTCGCTAACAGTTTCTCAACTTGTTATAGATTTTGGTAAGGGAACTGCATGGATCCTGATCAGACTGCGCAGATGCACAGGCTGATCTGGATCCATGCTGGTCGCAAATGCACTATGTTGGTTTTGTCATGACGCGGCTCATATAAAAGATTTTATGGTCAGTCACAACAGAAGTTACCTGCACCGTCTGGGAATCAAACCTGGGTCGCCTGATTCACAGTCTTAACACTCTAACCTGTGATGAGCTGTTGTTTATTTACAGATTTAAGTATATCAGAGAAACTATAAATAATCATTGTGGTAGTAAAACAATTTTGGTATGTTTTGTTAAATGATATGTTGTCCTTCTTTTATCCAAGTACATAAACTTTTTGTTTAACTTTTAAATTTCGTTATTTAGGGATGCTGTCAGTGATTTAGCTCTTCATTTCTTAGCCAAGATGAAAATTATGGTAGTCAAAGATATTGAAAGAGAAGATATTGAATTTGTATGTAAGGTAAGTGTCTAGTTTAGCTGATTATCTTTCTTTTGTCTGACAATTGATAATTTTGGGCTTTGTAGGAATATGTTAATGAATGATAATTATTCTTTTTACTTACAGAAATCATTGTGATTATTTGATCTGAGTCATACTATTTAGAAACTGACTTGAAAAGTGGAAGGATGTACTTATACTTTGTTATTTCAAGTTTGAATCTTAAATTAGTCTTACATGAATATATTTTGATTTGTCATCTTGACTTCTTTCAATTGCAGCTAATCTGATACTTAATTAAGTTAATATCAAAAGTTTGATTATTTCACTTTGATGCAAGCTTTTAATTGATTGAATGTTCTTTAATTTTGTTCAACCCAAATAAAATATTTGGAAATAACGTCTATAAATGGAAAATACTTTTAATGCAAATTTATATGGGGGAAAAACAACAAAAAACAAAACAGCATATTGTTCATAAATAAGTCTTTTTGAAACTGATATTGAATAAATTTTGACTTAGTGATTACTATATTTCAGAGTTTACATTGTCGTCCCATCGCTAGTTTGGATCATTTTGTACCAGAATCTTTAGGTAGTGCTGATCTTGTTGAGGAAATACATACAGGACCTAGTAAAATTGTCAAGGTTTGTACTATTTAAGCTGTAACTTACATCTAAACTACTGTTACAATTTTTTAACAGGTACAAAACATGTCTTTTAACAAAATACCCTTGTTACATTATTAGCTCACCTGTCACAAAGTGACAGGGTGAGCTTTTGTGATCACTTTTCGTCCGGCGTCCGTCCGTAAACTTTTACTTTAAATGACATCTCCTCATAAACCACTAAGCCATTTTCATCCAAACTTCACAGGAATGTTCCTTAGGTGGTCACCTTTAAAAATTGTTCAAAGAATTTAATTCCATGCAGAACTCTGGTTGCCATGGCAACCGAAAGAAAAAACTTTAAATATCTTCTTTTAAAAAACCTTAAGAGCTAGAGCTTAGATAGTTGGCATGAAACATCTTCTAGTGAGTGTCTACCAAGTTTGTTCAAATAAAAGCCCTGGGGTCAAAATTGGCCCCTCCCCGGGGGGTCATTGATTTTCCCTATATACATATAGTAAAAACTTAAAAAAATCTTCTTTTAAAGAACCAAAAGAGCTACAGCTAAGATATTTAGCATGAAACATGTTCTAATGGGTGTCTACCAAGTTTGTTCAAATTAAAGCCCTGGGGTCAAAATTGGCCCCGCCCCGGGGGGGTCATTGATTTTCCCTATATGCATATAGTAAAAACTTAAAAAATCTTCTTTTAAAGAACTCAAAGAGCTATGGCTAAGATATTGAGCATCAAACATGTTCTAATAGGTGTCTACCAAGTTTGTTCAAATAAAAGCCCTGGGGTCAAAGTTAGCCCTGCCCCAGGGGGTCATTGATTTTCCCTATATGCATGTAGTAAAAACTTTAAAAATCTTCTTTTAAAGAACCAAAAGAGTTAAAGCTAAGATATTTAGCATGAAACATGTTCTAATAAGTGTCTACCAAGTTTGTTCAAATAAAAGCCCTGGGGTCAAAATTGGCCCCGCCATAGGGGGTCATTGATTTTCCCTATATGCATATAGTAAAACTTAAAAAATCTTCTTTTAAAGAACCAAAAGAGGTAGAGCTAAGATTTTTAGCATGAAACATGTTCTAATAGGTGTCTACCAAGTTTGTTCAAATAAAAGCCCTGGGGTCAAAATTGGCCCCGCCCCGGGGGGTCATTGATTTTCCCTATATGCATATAGTAAAAACTTAAGAAATCTTCTTTTAAAGAACCAAAAGAGCTAGAGCTAAGATATTTAGCATGAAACATGTTCTAATGGGTGTCTACCAAGTTTGTTCAAATAAAAGCCCTGGGGTCAAAATTGGCCCCGCCCCGGGGGGGTCATTGATTTTCCCTATATGCATATAGTAAAAACTTAAAAAATCTTCTTTTAAAGAACTCAAAGAGCTATGGCTAAGATATTGAGCATCAAACATGTTCTAATAGGTGTCTACCAAGTTTGTTCAAATAAAAGCCCTGGGGTCAAAATTGGCCCCGCCCCGGGGGGGTCATTGATTTTCCCTATATGCATATAGTAAAAACTTAAAAAATCTTCTTTTAAAGAACTCAAAGAGCTATGGCTAAGATATTTAGCATCAAACATGTTCTAATAGGTGTCTACCAAGTTTGTTCAAATAAAAGCCCTGGGGTCAAAATTGGCACCGCCCCGGGGGTCATTGATTTTCCTTATATGTGTATAGCAAAAACTTAAAAAATCTTCTTTGAAAAAACCCAAATAGCTAGAGTTAAGATATTAAGCATGAAACATCTTTTAGTGAGTGTCTACAAAGTTTGTTCAAATAAAAGACCTGGGGTCAAAAATGGCCCCGCCCCGGGGGGTTATTGATTTTCTTTATATGTGTATAGCAAAAACTTAAAAATCTTCTTTGAAAAAACCCAAATAGCTAGAGTTTAGAAATTAAGCATGAAACTTCTTCTAGTAAGTGTCTACAAAGTTTGTTCAAATAAAAGCCCTGGGGTCAAAACTGGCCCGGCCCCAGGGGTGTCATTGTTTTTAACTATATGTGTATAGTAAAAACTTAAAAAAAATCTTCTTTCAATAAAGCCCAATGAGCTAGAGCTTAGATGTTTAGCATGAAACATCTTCTTATGGGTGTCTACCGAGTTTGTGCAAATAAAAGCCCTTGGGTTAAATTGGCCCTGCAACGTTAGGGGGAGGGGGGGGGGTTGGGGGGCCTATATACAGGTGAGCGACCTCAGGGCCATCATGGTCCTCTTGTACTTATAAGCAAGTACATATTGTGCCAATACCATTTTGCATGTTATATACCAAATAAATGGATAAAACGCTGATATTACGCCAATATATGAAAAAACAATTTATTATCCCCTCAATTAGGATTATCTTGGATTGCACTTCTAATTAGACATGTCACACGATTTAAATGAGTAAACTTGTATAATTTTAAGTTTGAATTATGCTGGTCAATTTCTTTAAGAGCTAGGATTTCAATTATTTACTTGTAAAGATTTGTGACTTTAAACCTGAAGAAAAACGTAAAACACATAAAAAGAAGCATTTCTTATAAAGAATAATTGCTTATGAAATTTGTTTTGCTGCCCATTATATAAGCAAGGTATTTGGAATGCTTTTACAGACTTACCGAAAGTTGAAAAAAAGTGTCAGACATTCGGTCTGACAAACCATGAAAATCTGTCAGGCCGAATGAAATAAATCAAAATCAAAGGAAAACTTGTGTTTGTATTTCTGAGACACTTTTGGGTTTTAATTTTTTCATCATAATAATCGGCACAATCTGTATAGCGCATTTTCACTTCCTCCCTGTCATACGCCATTGGTTTATGGTCCTGCTTTCATTTTTCATTAAATTTTTTGTCTCCGGTCTATTTTTTTCATCCTTTTACTGCTGTTCTGCGCGCTCCTCTAGATTTTTCAGGGACGCCACTTTGTATACATGCGACTTGGATAAAAGCCGGACAGTCGGACCAATCTGTAATAAAAAATTTATCTGACATGCCCGTTGGACCAACATATTTTGGGAAGTCTGCTTTTATAAAGGTTGCCTCCTGCCTGTATCAATTTTGTACCCTATGATGTCATGAAGTGTTATTGATTGAAAAGTGTTTAGCTTCCAGTCCAGTGAAAACAAAACTAAAACTGAAATTTCATATAATTCTTGTTATGTCTTTTGTAAGATAGTAATTTTTATCAAATATTTAATGAATGTTGGTAAATTGTATAGATTACAGGTATTGCCAACATGGGTAGAACAGTGACTGTGTTAATGAGAGGCTCTAACAAACTAGTGCTAGAAGAAGCTGACAGATCTCTCCATGATGCTCTATGTGTCATCAGATGTCTTGTTAAGAAAAGGTAAGTTATTGCTTAATACCAAAGTGTCATGATGTATATAAGAAATACTTTATTATCGTGGAATGGAAAACTAAGATGAATATATCTACATGTGTGGAAAATTTTGCTTACTGCATACAACATGTATAGAACATTTTGGTTGCATATGTTTTATAATGTTATATATAAAAAAGTAAGACATAGGTCTGAGATCTTCTGGATTTAGTAAAAAGAATAAAAATATGTGTCCAGGAAAACATGCAGTTGGTTCAGATTATCTACTGGGAGTTAAACTATTTACTTGGAAAGAAACCGACAGATATGCCTGTAGTAAAAAGTCTAGTTAATTAAAAGGGAATAAACCTAGGCTGTTGCTTACTTAGATTAACTTACAAGTCACAACTAAAGATTTCAATTCAAATATAGTTGAATATAAGTCATTGATATTGTTAGAAACTTTGATTGTAGTATACTCCTTGATATTTGCTGTATTTATGCGAAAGAAAGTAAAAACCCCCAAAAAATCCTTTTGTATTGAATAGTTTAGTTGTTGTTGAGTATAAGATGTATTTGATAATTTTTTTGTTTTATGCTACAAATATAAAACTTAGATGCTACTGAATATATTATTAGCTAATTCAACACCATATGAACTGTTATGTTGGTGTTATTTGAAAGTGATTATTATATAGAACGTAATCTACCAGTTAAGCAGGAAATAATACTTCTTGTGT